GCACGACCAGCAGTGTTTGGGACCATTTCGAAAAGATATCTACAAATAATCTTGATGGTACAATTAGATTTAAAGCAAAACATAAATATTGTGCACATTTACTTAGTGCTGCATCTGTAGGGGGTACTAGTCATCTAAAAAGGCATGCCAACAAACATTTACAAATCAACAACCTAATATTAGAAGTCAAATGCAATTAGGGGTTTCATCAACTAGTCATTTACAAAAATTTCATATGATCCTATACGTGCATAAAATTCTGTAATTGATTATATTATTAAAAAAGAACAACCTTTTACTACTAGTGAATATCCCGATTTTGTACAAATGATTCATGAAAGTTTTGCACCGCAATATCAAAGTTTTTAAAGAAATACTACTAGAAACAAAATTTTAAAGAAATTTGAGGGTATTAAAAGTGAATTATTTGACATCTTCAAATATTTGAATGGAAGAGTTTGTTTAATATCTGATTTGTGCTCAAATAATGGTTTAGAATATCAATGTATCACTGCACATTTTATTGATAATGATTGGAAATTAAATAAAAGAATTATTTCATTTAGATTAGATGAACTTTCATACACTAGTCATTCACTTAGTGTAGAAATAGGAACTGTATTATATGAGTGTATTTTGAAAAATAAAATATTTTCCATTAGTTTAGATAATATAACATATTACAATAAGACTGTAACCCATTTGAAATCAACTTTACAATTACTTATTGATGGTGATCTATTTCATGTTCGTTGTTGTGCTCATATTTTAAACTCAATTGTTAAAGAAGCTATGTATGTTCGTTGTTGTACTTCTTTTTTGCTAATCGAATTTTGAAATATAGGAAAATTTGTCAATGAGAATGCATGCCATTTAAAAAATTAATTTTAGATTTAGACAATATGTAAAATTCAATGTATAATATGTTAAAAAGAGCTTGTAAACAAAGGAAAAACAATAAATTTATTTTTTTCAACAACATCAATAAGAGGAGTATTGACTCCCACAAAACTTAATTGGTGCTAAATAGCCTTACATAAAGATTTCTACAAGTTTTTGATACTACAACAAAATTATTTTCTTATGCATATATATATATATATATATATATTCCTACTTCACTATTTGTTTTATATATGTTAGCAAAAATAATGAAAGTTTTCGTAAAATATATGGGTAATGAATATTATGTAAGCATTATTACTGCAATGAAAGAAAAATTTAATAAATATTTCAATCCATTGCTTTATTTTTTAGGTTTAGCCATAATAATTGATTCTAGGTGTAAAGAAATTGGTTTACAAGAATTTTTAGAATATATTGTCGCTGATCAAAAACAATTTGCCTCTATTATGCAAGCATGCAAAACATTATTTGAAGAATACAAGGCAGTTGCATCTGCGAATTCACATATACACATTACAACAATAACCTCGTCTCGAGGTGGAAGATTAAGTATTTTTTCAACTATAAAAAGTTGAAGAATATCTCAACATATAAGTGTAAGTAATTTTCAGCTACAATATTATTTGGAAAGCCCAGAAGTAGACGATTTCCAAAATTTTGACATTTTGGATTGGTAAAAACAAAATGAAACTATGTGGCTTGTGCTTTCATAGATGGTCCGTGATATACTAACTGTTCTTATTTCCACAGTTGCTTCGGAAATAGCTTTTAGTGTAAGTAGACGGGTGCTAAGCAATTGCTACAACAGGCCTTCGCCCCAAATGGTTGAGGCACTGATGATATCTAGGGATCCTATACATGTACTTACAAGAAGACAAAATTATATTGAAAATTAGAGAATTCAAAGTGATTTGGATGACATATTCTCGGGCAACACGAGTGAATTGTCTGGCTCCTCTGATGATTGATCAACAATTTGCTTTTCATTATTTCATTTTTTTTTATTTCGTTTTTTTTTTTTTTTTTTGTATTAGATTATTGAGGTGGAGTGTAATGTAAATAATTGATAGACTAGTAGGTGCCAACCTAGTTGGGATGTACTTGACTTATAGTGATACAATTGCTCTACTATCATCAATAATCTACATTTATTTTATTTAATGATATAAATTTTTGTAATATTTTAATTCATTCTAAAATAAAATTATTCATTCAATAAATGTTATCTATTTAATTTAATGATTTTAATATTGAAAGTTTCATTTTGATATATATATATATATATAATTATTGATTTCGAAAGAAAAAAATTACATAATTTCATACTTTTTTAATTATAAGTTCATGACCAAAAAAACATAAGTCATACATAATTAAATTTAAATAACACCACACATAAAACATAACCAAACATCTCATTAATCTTAACTAAAATACTTTAATACAATTTTTCTTTTATTTTTTATTCGTCATAAATAATCTATATACACAATATCTTTATCGTTTATTTTTTACAAAAAAAAAGGCTCGCTAGGCCCAGCTAGCGGCCCAAGCTCGAGCCTAGGCCTTAGGACCTAATCTAAGTGGGGCTGGGCTTGGGGCCCACTTTTCGGCCCGCGGGTAGGCTCGGCTTGGCCTGACCTGAAAAAAAATGGGAGCCTGCACGGCCTATCATGGGTCGGGCCATATTTACACCACTATCCATGGCTTTAAACACAAACTAAAATACACAATATTTATGAAAATATACAAAACACACAATTTTGCATATAAAGAGCATAGAAACTTGCATTATTTAAAGGATAATGCAAATAACACACATGTGCCAAAAAGAACAAAAGGACTTACCTTATGTCCACTTCTGCGTCTTACATGTACGGATAAAATAAATATGACCTAAACATGCAACTAATCATACAAAATATGTACCTAGGACCAGTTTAAGGGTTCTAACATGATTTAATACATAAAAGACAATCAACACAAAAATAATGCAAAACTAACCTACATGATGCTTAAACTGGGCCATGTATGCTGATTATAAGATTAAGATGACCCTAAAAATATGTTGTCCTAATGGAAAATAAACAAGACATGCAAGAAGATGCGAGAGAGCAAGAAAAATTAAGAGACTGCATGATGCTAAGATGGACTAACAACCTAGCATGGATTGGCCACTAAAAATAAGCGAAGAGCTACCGAAATATAGATGATAGGGAAGGTTTACCTTTTGGTTTTCGAGAATTGAAGAGCCCATAGAGAATAATGCAAAAAAATAACGAGGTCCTTGCTTGTAAGCTTCCCTCAGGTTTGGAATCTGAGTTTGGGTTGAAGTTCTTTAGTCGTTAGGTATTTTTTTGTATTTAGAGATGTTGTGGGTGGTGTATTTTGGAATTAGGGTAGAGGAAGGAGGGAAGTTGGTTGTTTTGATCTTAAAAGCTTTCAAAATGCTTCAAATTTCTTAACCTCTTCAAAGAGAGGGGGAGAGGCTCTATTTATAGAGTTGGGGGAAGCCTTTGGAAACCTTCTAGGGTTTCATCGTTTTCCCCTCCGCCGTTCCCACAAAAAATGCACTTAGATTGAGCTTCCAAAAATAATTCTGCGCACTCACATCTAACATGCGCATGCTCATTTTGCTTTGGTACATGTGCTATGTATGCATTCACAAGTACGTGGTTCTATGCTTTTGGCTTGCTTGTAGTATATGTAAGCCTGAATTGCATTATGATCAATGTTTTTGATAAAACGAATCACTAATTTTGAAAAATACGATCAATCAAAACACAATCGAGCTTTCCAGTGTTAAGAAGTTAGTTTTTAGCTAAAAACGGGCCTAGTGATAAAATGGTCATTGTCGCAAAAAGTTAATTTTTGGCCAAAACGGGTTTATTACATCATCTCTAAACAACTTTAAACTTTCTAACGAAGAAGTAAGTACCATTTCATCATTAAGAGGTTTGCAAGCGCCCGAAGTCTTAGGGTTAGTCAAAATAGGGTGTTTACAGCTCAGATAGAGAAAGAGACAGATAGAATAAGTTTAACAGATAGATATAAAATTCAATAGATAAAAAAGATTTTGACAACAGAGAGAGTTAGTTTGACAGATGAGAACAAAATTTGAACTAAAAAGATCAAAAAATTGAATAGATATGGTAAAAAAAATTGAACAAATAAGGGAAAAAATTGATCAGATATGGAAAAAAAAATTGAACAGATAGTACGAATTTGAACAGATAGATATAAATTTGAACAGGAACAGATAGCAAACAAAAAGTCAACAAATAAAAAAACTCCATAGATAAATTAAGGGGTAAATGTCCTCAAAACTAACAAAAAGACTTTTTACTAAATTATTTCAAAAATGGTGGACCTCTCATGAACAAAAAAATATCCACTAGACCTAACGTCTTATACCCTCTTTAGTTTGGACAATTTTCTCAATAAAAATTCACACAAATAAATAAAATTTAAAACTGAAAGCTGAATATTGAAAATTAAATACTAAAACTAAATGATAAATTTATTAAATTGAAAAGTTGGTTATTAAAAAATTAAGTGTTGAATATAAGATCAAATTTAAAATTTATTTTTTTTAAATTATAATTTATAATTTTTATATTGTAATGACAGTAATAACGAGAGGCTGAATATTTTATTCCATGAAGTCTGAACAAAATCAAAAGGATCAAATGCACATACATGTTCTCCAAAGTATGAATTTTGTTCCATTTTTTGTCTCCAAAAATAACCTTTTTATTTCATTTTGATCCCCAAATTATACATTTAGTTGCATTTTTGGTCCCCAGCTTTTTTAATTTGTTACATTTTTTGTTGTATTGTAATCTTTAAAAAATATCTTTCTTCTAGTTATTGATTAACCGTAACAGATGACATACTTCAAAAAATTACATGTGATATATATATATATATATTAAGGGAATATTTATCAATCAATTTTATTAACTAGATTTATTTATATATAGGCCATAATTGATAAATTTATTATTATAAAAATAAAAAAAAATGATAAATATAAAATTTAATTGGTAATTTGGATCTATTATTTACTGTATATTTTAAAGGCTTGGGGGAGTAGTTGAATCAGCCCGGTAGATTGTTGGGCTTGTGGCTATTGTTGCCAAGTCAAGTGTGGGTGTGGGTGTGGGTGTGGGGTGCGCGAAATGAATCAGAAATTCGGAGGACGGAGGCAGCCGAGTGGCACTCCGTCGCTGGCGTGGTCGTGCGTGGTTGTCGTTGTTTCTCTTCTTTCTGGCGCTTCCATTGTTCACAACATCTTCAAGCCTGATTTGGTATCTCTCTCTTTCTCTATGCTGTGTGTTGCCTATTACCTGTTTGATAAAATGTCTCTGAGATTTCAATTGTATTAGTAGTTTGTTCAATTTGTAATAACACTTGTTCTATCTCCCAATAAATAAAAAAAAATTAAATTTTTTTTTTGAAAGGAACATTGCCCATGATTTGTTGGATTTGAGTGCCTGTGGCTGTTTAATAACTATAGTTGATTAATGTTGGATATTTGACTCAGTTCTCATAATTTGTTCCTGAATTTTTTTCAAAAAGTAGTTTGGTAAAAAAATAAAAATAATAAAAAAACTCATTTATTTTCATATGGATTTTCTTTTTAGGATGGAATGATTTCTAAAAATTCAAAAAAAAAAAAAAAAATTGGTGTTTATTTTTATCAAGCTAATTTCTAATTTAAAAAAAAAAAAAAAATCAGAAAACAAGTTTTGGAAACTCAACAAAACAGTTACTTTTATGCAGAATCCTTGTCCAAATAACACATCAATGGCATTGTCAACATTATATGTGTTTGGCACTTGGGCTTTCAAGAGTTTATTTTATTTTTGGCTTTCTTTTCAAGAATATTAGGAAAATTATTTATTTCCCTTTAGGAGAATAACTGCAAATTTTTATTTTTGGTAATTAAGTAATTTCATTGCCAAAAATTGGTATCACAATGAAGCTCAAAACACAGTCCAAATGGACACTCAAAAAACTCACTGTAGAGTGATGATGCCAAGTCTAGCCTATATTTATAATCCTCTCACAACCCAGGAGGATAGGCCAAAAAGCAAAATATTGCAACAATGGATGAGTTTACATAGGAAATTTCATATAAAGCAAACAAGCCATCTCATGCCCTTAGAAACAGGCATTCCACATAGCACTTGGTTAACCCATATGACACGACAATGACATTTTCAAATCAAAATTATCTGTGTTTGGCATTTTGGCTATGTTAGTACCCCTCTTTTTGTGTGGCTTTCAAGAGAATTTTATTTTGGGCTTTCTTTTCCAGAATATTTGGAAGAATGATTTTTTCCCTTTTGAATATGATTGCAAACTTGTTTGTTGTATTTATTTTTCCATTTTCATTCATTCTCTCCCTCTCTCTCTCTCTCGTTAATGAATTTTGTAATGTTATGTGCAGACATTGCCACCAGTTGACAGTGTTCATGGGGCCAAGGACGGAGAACCTGACAAAGGATGAACATACACAGTACCTTCGACAAACTGGTTGATTTTTGTTAACATTCAATGCTTTGAACTTCAAATCCATGATATTGTTTTCTAGGTGGAATTGATAGAGGTACATTTTGCCATTAATATGTTTATTGGGATTGTTGTCGCACTGTGTGTTCTGTCGTATAAGCTTGTTATCTGTGTTACTGATTAAGGACTGACTAGCTCTGCTGTCAAGTTGCCTTCCATTGAGCTGCTGAAGTTACGTGCAAGTTTTTAGTCTTCAGGATATAAACATTAGTGTTCTGAAAGTCTTTTGAGCGATAACCAAATAATATAGGATGTATCACCATTTGCGAACAGGTAATTCAGCTAGGCAAAATCGTGGAGTAGATTTTTGCAGCCTACATTAAAAATGAGTCGGAGCAGCTCCTTGTGGACAATCATTAGCAACTCATTGGGGTAGATGAGAAATGTCTCTGGAAATGTTTTTGCCCTTTTTCTCTAGGGAATGAATAAGAATAACCATGAACATGAAGTGGAGGAGAAATGTGGCACAGAATCAACCACAGGGTTACTCACAAGCCACTGTGTGTATGTAGCGTGGTTGATTGTTGTGTATGTGGGAATGTTGTTACAACTTAAATGATCTGCTTATAGTTTATTTTAATTTATGAGTCTGGTGCAGTTTCTGTTTACAATTTATTACGTAAAAATAGTTTAAATAAGTTGAAAAAAATTGATTATGTGAAAGTTGGGGGAGAGGCCCTTTTGTTTTTTTTATTTTCAGTTTTAACTTATAATAAGTTGCACCAACAAAACTCTTATTGTTGTGAGGGAAATTTGTGGGATCCACATATTTGTGACCATTTATGTGATTTACTATAAGGGAGGTTGTCAGAAGAGTAATTACAAAAAAAAAATAATAAGTATTAATAATCAAAATTATAAATATTTTTATTAATATATAACAATTTTTAAAGATTACCCTACGTGGGGTGGGCTTTTGTTGGGTCGAGCCGGGTTCCAGTCAGGTAGGCACTGCATAATAAGGAATTTTGTGTTTGTTGAAACCTAGTCCAACCCTAACATCGGGTCTCTACATTTGTTTAAACCCATCTCAAAAAATAATTATAAATTCAAATTCCACCATAGGGCTATATGTTAATTTTTTTTAAAAAAAATATTCCATAATCAAATTCAATCATACATTATATTTCTTGAATAAATATATTGACAACATTATAAATTGAAAAATTTTATATATAAATTGAAAGATTTCGAAAATAAATTCAATCAAACATCAAGTTTAAATAAAATTAATAAAGATAAAGTTTAAATTCAAATATATATATATTATATCGGACCGAAAATATTGATCCAGCTCAATCTTATAGACGAAACGAATTTTTTCAAACCCTAAAAAAATAAGATTGAACCAGACAAAATGAGTGGGCCAATGGGCTGGTGCCCACTCCTAGGTGGCAATTACCCTTAATTATATGCAACGTGGATCTGTTTATATACTTAGGGCCAGATTTTCTCTCCCGATAAGAAAATGAGGTGGGATGAGAGTTGCTTCTCCCCATCCCATATTTTCACCCGTCAGATTAAATTAATTAAACAACTTTTGTGTATATATATTTATATAATTTAATTTATTAAATATAATATATATTATTTTTGAGTAATGGTGTGGGGATATATTTCTTGAGTCTCAACACGTGGCCAAGGTGACGCCGACGTGTCAGCCGAGATGCCACGTGTCCAGGTCATGACGCCGAGGTTATCTCGGCAAGGCCGATGTTATCTCTGAAGATATCGGAATCCGAGATAAGCGGATAAGGGACAAGAGTCCTAGAATAAGGAAGGACTATGGCATGGATAAGGATAAAGCTCTTAGGGAGTTTATCTTTATCCCTTGGAGGGTCCAAGATAAGTACTGAGCAAAGAGTCCATTGAAGCTAGGCTTCTAGTGGGACAAGGATTGAGTTAATTATAAAGAGAGGCACCCCCATGGGTCTAAGGTACGCAATTTGTATTCTGAACAGTGAGTTTAACACTTTTGATTATCTTTGAGAGATATACTGACTTGATCGTCAAAATGCCCCCAAGTGGATGAACCACCGCCGGAATCTTCTCTTTCTGTTGTAGGTCAGCAAGGTGTCATCTATTCTGCCAGTTCTCTCCAGCTGAATATTGAGTTGGGCAGTGTGATCGGAAAATCACCCACACAATTTGGCGCCGTTTGTGGGAACGAAAGGAGAATAGATGGCCAACGACAGACCGAAAGAGAAGGTTGGGGACGACACCCCTACTGAGAGTGGAAAACATATTGACCTTGGCGTCAAAGAAGACAACTACAACGAAGAAACTTGTGATAAGAATCATAGAGAAGAGGACGTCGGCCAGGAGGGCGACGTGCCGAAGAAATCAGACCGAAGCGAGTATTATAACGAGGACGACCTCCAGGTATGAAAAGAAAGATGCTTACGAAGGGACGACGAGATGAAAGGAATGGCGAACAAATTGGCAGATCTGCAAACTATTGTCAATTTCATGATACAGAACAACGTCATGCAGCCACCGTTCCCTTCACAAGATACGCCGATTCCAGCAGCCAAGAAAAATGCCTAGGCAGGGGGGCAGAAGACAACTCCTACGACTCCTTAGCACGATAGGACCAAGGAACATTCTCACCAGCCTTCAAGGGAGGTTGGACGAGGAGAATCAAGAATGGGAGATTCACAGAGGACACATCGCACTAAGGAAGCTGACTCCAAAGAACATCGGCATGTTCAGGGGAAGGACCTCTGTTTCGACGCGACAAATGGAGGGAGGTCCAAAAGAACTTGCAATGACACATGAAGTAGTGCACCAAAGAGGCTGAAATCTGGAGATAGCCGAGCTCCTGGACGAACCAAGGAGGATCTGAGGGATTACCTCCAAAGAAAGCGACAAGATGCCGAGGTGACCTCACCTGTCAAGCCGAGATAACACTGTATATGAGAAGACAAGAGCTCAGCCCAAGTAAGCCGATCCCGGATTCCAAATCTCGGATCCCAAATCTCGGATCCCAGATCCCAGAAGACAAGATCTCGGCCTAAGATGATTAAGTCCGAGAAGAGAAGAGTTTACCGAGATGATGTTTAACACTTGTTGAAACTTGAGAAAAGTTTACAAGTTGAAGTTAAGCCAAGATGATGTTTAACGCTTGTTGAAACTTGAGAAAAGTTTACAAGTTGAAGTTAAACCGAGATGATATTTAACACTTGTTGAAACTTCAGAAAAGTTTACAAGTTGAAGTTAAACCGAGATGATGTTTAACACTTGTTGAAACTTGAGAAAAATTTACAAGTTGAAGTTAAATCGAGATGATGTTTAATACTTGTTGAAACTTATGAAAAGTTTACAAGTTGAAGTTAGACTAAGGTAAAACACTTGTTGACATTTTATGAAACCAAGGTTATATTTAGAAAGGTACTTGGGTACTTGCCGAGATAAATCATCATTTTGTATTACCGAGGTGTTTCACCCCGAGAAGGTTGCATAAGACTAAAGAGCATTTTTGAAGACACAAAATTATTCTAAGTATGAAAGACATACAAGAAGCAATAAAGGAAACACAAACAATACAAACATACAAGCATTCAAGAAAAAAGGAAGTTGTATTCATAAAAAGGCACATCGACAACTTAAAGAATTTACATTACTTTGAAAGGAGAAACAAAGTATAAGAAAGGAAAGGAAAAAGACATCAAAACTAAGATTCCTCAACATCATTAGCTGGCTGGGTCTGGATCTCAGAAGACTGCTGGGAGGACATCTCGGCTACCTTCTCGGCCGCAAGCTCAGCATCAATCTCCTAAAGGGTTTGATCAAGGCTCTTGTCAGCAAGAGTCCAATGATGCCTGCTCAAGGGTAGCTTCTTTGGGTACCTCCTCACCCTCCTCATCTTGAGTCAAGTCCAGGGCTTGATCATTCAGAGAAGGGGACTTGGCCCTAGCAGCATCGTTCGACTTCCTCACCAAAACCTCCTCCTTAGATTCAGAGTCGTCATCGGATTGAGTTGGAGTTGGAGGGAATGGAAGAGGAATGGCGTTGGCGTTCCGAAGAAGCGAGTCGGCAGGGACTTCAAGCTTTTTTAGAAGAGACATCCAACCAAGGGTGAAACCCTTGTTGCATGCTTGCTTCACTCGCTTCTCATAGTCCGCCGTGACATCGGCCACCCCTTTGTTGTAGCCCTTCTGGTCGGCCTCCTTTAGCTCAGCATCTTTGGTGGCCAAAGCGTTTTGCAGTTCCTTTTGGGCCTAGGCCATCTTTTCCTCGGCGTCCTTCTTTTTGGCCTCAAGCACCTTCTTGATGGCCTCAACAAATTCTGCCTTTTCTTCGGCATCATTTTGGGCCTTAATGGCAGCCTCGGCCTGGTCTTCCAACTTTTTCATTTTTGATTGTAAACTTCTGTTGGCCTTTTGAAGACTGGAGACCTCCTTCTTCATTTCGGCTAGCTTCTCCCGGTTCTCGAAAGATTGTACTGAGAAAGAATGGGCATGCTGGATGGCCTGAAAGTAAACAGAACAGAAGTTGTTAGAAAAAATTACAAGTATGGAATGAACAAAAAGAAAGAAAACATTGCCACTTACTTGAACGGAGCGTTGAAGCATCAGCGCATAGTTTTCATACTCGCTCAACTCGGTAAGATCGCCGGGGAGAAGCAGAGCGGTACTGAGAGCTACGCCAACGTTAATGTCATCAGCACTATCGTTGGCCATAACTGGCTTATCTTCCAGAGTGATTTTGGGGGCCCAGGGGGCATCATATTTTTTGGACCCCGAGGTGGTGGCAGAAGATGACCTTGGCCTCTTTGATTTCGGAGAATTGGATGGTTCGGCCTCGGCATGTCTCTTCTCCGTAGTAGGTTGGAACTTGTCACTTTCAGCCAGTTTGGAGATCGGCAAAGTGTCCTCAGTGTCAACCTGAGTCACCTTGGCCTCTGGTTGAGCCTTTTTAATTCTTTTTTGTTTTGGTGGAGGCTGGGTTTGCACTGGTGGAGCGTCAACGGTTGATGGGATGCTAGCCAGGAGATCTTTTACAATGGCTTTTTGACGGCCCATCTCAGCAGAAAAAACGGTTCGTCGCCGGCGTTATCGTTGGGATATCAGGATCAGGTATGGAGCCAAGGTTGACGGTTGCTCAGCTGGATTAGAGGTTGATTCTTGGTATGTCCGAGATGTGGACGCGACTTGTGGAGTTGTGGCAGAAGGTGGAGAAA